ACCGACGTGTTCCCTCTACGATTAAAGACTCTTCTATGTTACCAGGTGTGAGCGGCCTATCAGCGAGGGGAAATGATCCAGCCTCCCTAGCAGCATCCGTACGCACTTAAGCAAACTGGTGGTGCTGTGCCCCACCGGTGCACTAAGTGCACAACCGTTAACTGGAGATAACAAGAGGGCATATGACCCCCGAAGACGGACATACCAACCAGTATCACTCATTAAGGACAATTCTGTCTACGAATGCAGCCTATCACCTTTAGATGCGTCTCAGTGACCAATTAGGAGCTAGTGCATCCTAGCTCTTCAGTTATTTTGGTCGCAGGGCAGACCATTTAGGTCGAATTAGGGACCGGTGCAAGAAGTTTAGAGGAGGACTACTAACTCTATTGTGAAAAGACGAGATAAAAGCCGCTCGCACTGATAACCATGTGTGTGCGCTTAACATATACCGGCATCACAGCGCTAAAGTCCCCAGAGGTTAGCCAAACATTTGTGAAGTAAATTAAGTTGCACATTCGGTCTCTAATACCGCATCCGAACTGAAGCATAATGATCGAAGAATATTATCTTAATTATGGGGATCAGACTGGGCGTTTGCAGGAATAAAATTGCAAAAAGTCAGAAAAACAGATCTCAAGTTTTATCAAAAATGAGAAAAAGACTTATTCGCAAGGAAAAAAACATCGATAGAATTTGTCGAACGCCTTTTTATAGTTCACCATTCGCCGTGACCGAACCCTGGTTTCCAGGGGTAACAGACCAACCTGTGCGATAAACTATCGCGTGGAGACGAGTGACGGCGTCCGATGGCCACACTGTCTTTGGTTTAGATATTGCATTTAATTCAAAATTCCTTCGATCGACTGGGCTGAACTAATAATTATTTTCTTCGACGCAAATTGCAAACTCACTTTGCTGGACTTCGCCGTATTTACCGGCCTTTACAGCTCTACAGAAACCTTCAACTTGACTTAGAAGACCTCTGAACTGTTCATCATTGAAGTCTTCTAACATGAGTCGAACATTTTCCGTCAAGACGCGCCAGGTCTCCTGCTTCTCTGAAAGAGGGATGCTCTGGTTATCTGGAAGAATTAGTTGAAAAAAAACAGATGCTACCATGCACTGTTTCACATTTAACTTCGGATATGGCTGCTGTGCAGGATAAATCTCCATTCTTCTTCATAATGTACTTGTATCTAGCTACGTCTCTTGAGGTTAGAACCTTGTCAAATTTCGCTATTGATTTTAATTAAACCAAATTCTGCGTACTGTGAAATTCATCGACAACTTCCTGGTTGGACAGACGATCATGTCTTAACAGAATTTTGAGAAATCCCTTCTCTTCAGGATTGAGTTTCCGGTTGATAGCATAATGTCTTGCGAGCAGAGGATCGGTCTCGTGATTATGCCACATGTAGTGCTTCTTTACAATCAAACCCTTTTCGGGCTGGTAACGTACTTCAAAATATGCAGGACAATCAAACTTTAGGGTTCGAGAAGAAAGCGATTCCCCCCTTTTGATACCACCGTGGATACACACGTACCGCATTCTTTGATAAGCGAATACGGACGTGTGTTTGCTGGACGGTGGAAGCCGATTACTAACATACCGCACATATTTAGTGCCTGTTTTTTTCTCGAAGTCATCTAGTCTTTCCAAGAAGGATGCCAGGCTATCGAATGAAGAACTACACATATCTGCAGCGAAAACATTCCCGAGGTCGCCGACCATCTTTGCGCAAACCGGAGTTTGACAGCCAAACACTTGCTTTATTCTAATTGGTCAGCTGCTAGCAGTCACCCAGTCACAACCTGGTCAAAATTTTCAGGGTCTTGCGGCTAGTTTCTTTATCCAGTTACTACAGTAGTCGCCGGCTATTAAGCCCATCTCGGGTCCAGACCAAATTGGGCTTAATAGGCAGCTGGGCTTATTAACCGTGGGCTTAATACCGTAGTCGCCGGTTATTAAGCTTACTTCGGGCCCAGACCAAATTGGGCTTAATAGGCGGCTGGGCTTATTAACCGTGGGCTTAATAGCCTGCGACTACTGTAGTACCAGTGATTTCTCTTTATAAATAATTCGTTAGCACACAATTCGACTGAAGAACTCACCAGTTTAGGGATGAACGATACTTCAAACTCACGAATTGAGGCGAATGTTCGCATCCCAGGAAAGTGAATATTTTGAGAAGAAGAGGAATTTTCAAACATTGGAACAATCACTTTATTAGCCTGAGCTCGGGCTCCTGCAGGAGCCCATCGTCAGAGTAGGGAAAGCAGCAACAAATGGGGTGGCTAGTTCTGGCGTGTGCACAAAACAGCCAAAATGTTAACGGGTAGATGGTGAGCTTCTTCCTGATTGCTTGGCCATATAATCTCAACTTATATAGCCGAACGAGTCCGCGACCGCAAATTTCAGATTACCTTGAGAGCGGCATCCGGCCTATTCTTTTTGGCTTCATCTATTCCTACTTGTCTAACCGTAGCCAGATGGTCTTAGAAAGTAATAATTACTGGACGCCTCCTCTGATCACGATTGACGTTTTTCAAGGCAGGGTCTTGGGTCCTCTCTTCTTCGTTCTCAACATCAATGAAACTTCAACAGTATTCAGAAACTCGCACAATTTTATTTATGCTGATGATATGAAGTGCATTAATTCGTTTTTTTAAGAAAAGAGCC